CTAAATTTGGATCCAACTACTTTGTCTACAAGTAATGAACTTGTACTAAGTTTGGATCCAACTACTTTGTCTACAAGTAATGAACTTGTACTAAGCTTGGATCCAACTACTTTGTCTGCAAGTAATGAACTTGTGAAACTTAGCTTCCCAAAGAAGAGGACTCCACTAGTTCTACCTTTTTATACAGTACCATGCTTAAATCAAGCTATTCATAGTTGACAACATACAATGCTCTCTTTATGGGTACAGTCATCTCCATCATCTGTACTACAGTACATTGGTCTGTGTCCCATAGTGATGATCCAAGGTCTAGCTGCTCTGTTCCATGGCTTGTTGGCTTCCTAATACATAATTTTTAAACAAGTATTACAAACTAATTCACTGCTGAAAAATCTGACACTGACAAATATCGTATCACTGCTTCATTTCCTTTTTTATTTCTCTTCCAAAAACAAGCAGTACCACACTTTCAAAAGTCATTCTCACTTTAAATACTTCTTTTTGAAAACAGCATTTCTGGATTTTGTTAATGTACAAAATTTTGCCACGAGTATCTAGAAATGCTGTGATAAGGAAATAAATTAATTACACTAATTTTCCAATTTAGAAAAAACAATCTTATTTCGTAAGTTTAACTTTATAACTGCAAAAATTGATATGGCATATTTTCAACTTTTAAGAGCTATTTGTTACAATAACATCAAGAACAAACTGTATACAAGACATCCACACTTATACTTCACTGTCTTTTCTACACTTTACCTCAGTTACAGATTGAATTTCAGTAATTTTAACTTGCTTAAAGTTATACGTCTTTATCCTTTAGCCAATGATGTAACTGATTTATCATTCTACCATTACTATGGCTCTGAAGAACAGTAATAACATCACATTTAATACATATAATTTCTATATTCTTATCATCTGGTGAATATATAATACTTCCATGATATATTTTGACAAGTTACAGATATGAATTCAGATGATACTTATTACTAACCTCCAATTATAACAGTAAGAAACATTATTGTTGTACCTTATCCAATATTCTTGGATTGGCTCTTATGTCTCTAATAACTAACTACTCTCTATAAAATTTTTTAAATTCACATTTCTTTCTAAAAGTAAACTTTTTTTCAATAATTTAAGCTATTGTTTAATAACTCTACAATATTAACTTGTTTTCACCTTCAGTTCTTTTTCTAACCATTTGTATTGTTCCACAATCTGCTTCCAACCATACTGAACAAAATAGTAGAATTCAGTTGAGAATGCAATGATGTGTGCTGGTCCAATGTCAAAACTATACAAAAAAATATGTTACATTTAATTATCATCAAAATAACAATAAGCAAGAATCAAACTCTATCAAGAAGTAGTTTTACTGACAGTATCAGTATTGTTGACCAGCCTAATGTGGTAATGTTAAAGTATAAAAACCTATAAAAGTTAACATTGTCCCAAATTGAAAATGTATTTCCAATAATACTTACCTCCACTGACACATATACCTATTGCTTGACCTACAGGGTTTCATCATTGCCTATCTAAGCATTGGTCTGATTTTTTCTTGCTTGCTCCAGTCTTTTGTACCCCATTTAAATGCCCTTGGTGATATTTGTCTCGTGACACTTTCTACCTACAACAATGCACCCTCTATCCTGGTACTGTATTTAAGCACCTCATTCAGATAATGTGATCACCTTTTCGACACTGACACCATCTCAGTCTCCAATACCAGCTCATAATGGAGATGAAGGGTGAGAGAGTGTCAGCAGAGGTAAGTATTATTGGAAATGCATTTCCAAATTAGGAAAATGTTAACTTCCAAAACACACTTACCTCAGCTGACACTTATAGCTAGAAGGTGGAGGGGTCAGTGAGGGCATTATCCATACAGAAAGCATCTGTATAGATCATAGGTGAACCAAGATAATAATGGTACCCAAGTGGAGGAACTGCACTACATCCATAACAGGTATGCTCTTCACCCTAAATGTAGTTCCTGTATAAAGGGTGGAATAGTACACGAATGTTTATCACTATAGGCCTGCCCCAAACAGATAGCCAAGGTTACACTACTAAGGGGTTGGAATTAAGAGGTCTTGATCCCTATATCCCATGTTGGTGGCTTGGGCAATTAGACTGAAACATTACATAAATAGATAATAGAATTAATCCCAACCTGTAACCATAGAGTGATGTGTTCCCAGAATCAAGATGACAAAGTAAGCAGCACTGAAGCAGACAAACTTTCTTCTCCAACTGAAGAAACCTGAAAGGCAACAGCCCAGTCTCTGAATGATGGGATTGTGTATACCTTACTAAAACAAATGAACAGATCTCCTCAGGTCTGGAATTATGAGCATGCATTCTCACTCCCTAAGCAAGTGGATAAGGAGCCTTCCAGTTGTTCCTGGAATTATGGGGAGGAAGTGGAACCACTGTGCTCAACCAAGGACCAGGGATGGAACCACTCTGCATTCGGAATTATCAGGAGATAGTGGACCTCCTTCTATGAACAATGTACTGAACCAAAATTGATTAAAAAGAAGGGCCAGGTACACCTCAACTGGATGGATGAGTGTCAAACTTAAACCAGTATTACAAGTAGGCACCCACTTAGGCTGGTGCTGCTCCTACCTACATCTGGGAAAAAGCATCCAGGGACCTGAGTAGGAGGGCCCACAACATCACCCTCCTCTCTAAGAGTGGAGAAATTCAACACTCTGAACGAAAAGCCTCTGTCCACCACCCCAGTGGCTGTAAACCATGTGTTAAGGACTCCCTAGCACCATTAGTAGAATCTGTGGGGGTAATGAGCATTGGGGAGTCCTGAGGAACAGTGTTCCGGAAACACTGTAATAGGTGAACAAAGTTCCCTAAATTTTTAAAAGCAAACCAACCCCAATTTATTCAATCTGATGATCAGCAGGGATGGGTAGGATCCCCTTTTGCTTTACTCATGATAGTCCATGAGTGGCAGTCCAGCATTGAATAGCAATACCGCCTGATGAGCTCTTAGGTGGCCTTATGGAACACCTCATTTCTACAGAGGCTGTTGCAACTGGTAGTAATAATAGTGAAATAGTGGTTGCTAGTGCAGAATTTGAATGATAAAAGCATACCTGACTGGGCAACACTTACCACAGAGTGGGACAAAGTGGAAAGAGAGTTAAGGGACCCCGGAAAGGAAAGAAACCAGAGAATGAAAAAATTACTCACCCTCATTATAATCTATAAGATGTGGTCAAAATGGCCACAGGGGGTAGGCAAAAACCCTCAGAAGAAGAAACTGCCAGATCATGTAAATAATGGGAGAGAAAAGTATTGGGATAAGCCCACATACCAGTCCACACGATGTCCTCCAGCAGGCAATAGAAATGTGACAAATCTGATGAGATGTGATTCACAGCAGATCCCATGCCTGTAAATGTCTAGAATAAGCAATATGGATCATTTTGCAAAGCCACTTTGTCAAGGTGATCGGGGATAAATGGCAGGAAACCAAAGGATCCCAGTAAATAAATAAGCGATTTCTAGCACCTTGAAAGGAGTTAGTGTGAGCCACATTACACCTGAGGGCCCTGACTGGACATAAAAAATTATTGAGGTCTGAGCAGTAGTAAATGTGAGAAATAGCCTGCAAATGAATTAGTGAGAAGGATTTATCCCATTCTCTGGCTGCCAAAGTCTTTGGAAGGAAGTACCTCCCTGGGTATAGCAGGAGATAAATAGAATAATAAAGAGCCAGGTGAACATGCAGTGCAAACAACTCAGTCTGATGACATCCCCATGTCAGCAACAACATAAAATACACTTTAAGAGAAAGGTGATACACATGATACACAGAACATGAGGCTAAAGGCTTGAATGGATGTTGAGACAAAGTATGTAATACAACCTTAATATCCCAGTTAGGTAATTAAAAGGCCTTTTGGGATAAAGGATGCAAAAAGATTTGAGTAGACCAGATATCACTGGGGGTTCAAAAACCTTCCTATGTTTAGAATACCGAAAAGTAGTTGATAGGGCTACCTTATATAATGTGACAGTAGACAAAGCAAGACCTTTGTCAAAAATCCAAGTCAAAAAACAGGTTATGGTGAGCACATTTGGGTGAAGTGGGTTTAATTTCCTCTTAAGACACCACTGGCAATAAGTGTGCCATTTCCATTGAAAAATGGCCACTGTGGGTTATTGGAGAGATTGAGACAAATACAAGGCAACTTGAGAAGTTAAACCCCTATGTCGTGTGAAGGACCGCATAACTTCCAAGCATGAAGTTTGAGCTTCAGAATGTCCAGGTGTAGAATGTTGGATCAAGGTTGCATCAACAGAAATGGCCAAAGAGAAGGTGGCAGAGGTGCACACTCTTGAAGATACTGAAGAAGAGGAAACCATGGCTGGGCCAGCCAATACCAGGCTACCAACAATACTTGATAAGGAGTGGATCGAACCATAGCCAGAACTCAAGGCAACAGACAAATCGGGGGGAAAGCTTATAGGTGTAAACCTGTCCAGTCCTGACTGAATGCATCTATTGCCAAAGCCAGAGGATGAGGTACCAGTGGCCAAAATGCCTGTAGTTGAGAGTTCCAACAAGTGGCAAATGTGTCAATCATTGAAGACCTGAATTGCAAACAATTCCATTAGAAAACCTTGCAATGTAGCTTCCATTCAGTCGGGAAAATTCAGCTGACTCCGAGACAAATGACCTGTTATTAAGTTCATCACCCTTGGAACATGGCAAGCCAGAAGGCTGATAAGATGGAAGTGAGCTCAGTAAAAAATATCCAAGGTTTAAAAATAAAGGTCACGAGAATGTGTGCCCCTTTAAGTGAAATGTAAGATACCACTGTGGAATTGTCTGAATGAATCATGACGATTTTCCCCTTCAATAGAGGTAAACCTTGAACCATTGCCTGTTGGATAGCAAGGAGTTCTAAAATGTTGATGTGGAAGGAAGATTCATCATCCTTCCATAAATCTTGAAATTCCTGGTCATTGATATATGCCCGATCCCTGAAGTGAGGCATTTGTGAAAAGATGAACCTCGGGACAAGAGGGTGGTAGAGGAATACCGATTGTAGTGTTCCCTCTTTTGCACAAAACACTATGGGAATGTGGAGATATGCATCTGCAACATCGAAGTTAGCCATCCACAGGCTGGTGAAAAATGCCAATGTAGGATCCAAGATTTGGTTGAGATGAGAAATATCGATAATTGAACACCAATCACCTGTCTTTTGGGGAACAACAAATAAACGGGAATAAAATTCCAGATGAATGGGATCGACTCTCTCTACTACCCCCTTGGATCATCAGCAAAATTAGCCTCAGAAACCCCAGTCCAATTATATGTCACCATCTTGCAACAAATTAACTCATGGACAGTCTCAACTGAGAGTGAACACCACCCCTCTGACCATTGTGAGACATTAAATAACAGAAGTGGAATAGTGGATGTTTGGTTAGCCTCCTTGCTGGAAACAGTAACCCAGGAATTCATGCCTGAAAACACCACATCAAAAACAAGTTGTTGTTTTGTTTTAGATTTAGTAAAATATAATGGTATGATGATGCTAAAATCGCAATTAAGGATGTTACCAATCACAGCACTTCTTTAGAGAAACCCATTTCTAAATGCTTTGTCGAGAAAAAATTATTACATTATCTGAATGAGGTGCTTATATACAGTAGCAGGATAGAGGGTGCATTGACATAGGTGGAGAGTATCATGAGACAAACATCACCAAGGGCATTTAAGTGGGGTATAAGAGATTGGAGCAAGTGAGAAAAAATCTGACCAATGTTTAGATGGGCAAAGATGAAACCCTGGAGGTTGAGCTATAGTTATAAATGTCAGTGGAGGTAAGTATGTTTTGGAAACTGACAGACTCAAAGAACTACCATCACTCATTTGTTACTATTTCTTAAATCCCTATTTTAATATTGTCTAAGTGGTCTTCGCTATCTGACCAAGTATCCAACCAAATCTACACTTTAATGCATTCTGATTTGCTCATGCTGTGTCTTTGCATTTTTCTGTCAACTAAAAAATGCTTAATATTTAGGTGTATAGGTAAAGAAATGCTGCTTTAAATTGCTAAACCTTCTATTTTAACAGTAAGAGTTCAGAATTGAAAGAAAATATATATGTATTTATAAATACACACATTTTTAGCTTTTCTTCCATCGAAAATAGATTATATTACTCATTTTGTAATCAAAATTACTTGAATAAAGCCTTGAGAGCACTGTGTGTGTGTGTGTGTGTGTGTGTGTACATACAATCCTGAT